CCCCCGCCTCTCCCGGGGCCTGTGGATGCCGACTTCCCACGGTCACTCTGACTCATCTCTGTCTCGCAGGTTTTTCCTGATGTATCTTATCAACAAGGACGAGACGGAGCACACGGGGCAGGTAGGCAAGGGTGACCCAGCCTGAAGGAAAGGGTGAAGGGAGTCCTGCCCTTGGGGACGGAGCTGGGCATTAGGCACTGGGAGAGCGTCCCTCCGACGGTAGTCCCACGTCTTCACACGGGGCCCCTGGTCCAGGGCAGTGTGCAGGGCTCGCCTTGAAGAGGGAACGTTCCCAGAGAAACACTCTTGCTGCTGAAGATGCTAACTTTGGGTTTTGATTATTGTAATGTCCTTGATCTCTTAATCGATAGCAGATGATTTCAAATGAACCTCAACCCACAATATTATGGGCAGTGAAAAATAATTGCATATTAAATGTCTAGGTCTGTTCTTAAGCTATTTGAAATTCTCCACAAAATTCACTTCCAATTGTTATGGTTTGAATTTGAAGGAGTCAATTAGCAATAATATTTTTCAAAGAACCCTCGAAATCATTCACCGCAATTAAGTCTTATTCATTATTATATTGTGGTCCGGATGCAGATGATCGGTTTATTACTAGAAGTAAGCAGGTCTGACACAGTGAGGACCTGTGTAATGAACTTGGGCTTCTCCAGTGACATCTGTGTCTATGTGTGATTACAGTTGTACCCACCTGCTGTATGTCCCAACAGTTGTGAGTTTGTCTTATACTTTGTGAGAACACACAGATGGTGGGGAAGACACGATCTTACTGCACTGTCTTTACTCCTACAGGAATCTTACGTGTGGAAGATGTACCAGGAAAGATGTTGGGAGTTTTTCCCAGCCGGAGACTGTTTCCGGAAACAGTATGAAGACCAGCTGAATTAATTCAGACCCGATCACCTAGAAACCCTAGCACCCTCACCCTCCGTGGCCCTCTGCGCCTCTCTCTCTCTCTCTCTCTTTCTTTCTCTCTCTCTCTCTCTGGCTCTCTCTCTCTCTCTCTCTCTCTCTAACTCTCTCTGACTCTGTCTCTTGCAAACATCCGCTGATGTGGCACTTGCCGCCTTCCATGCTTTCTGGGAGCAGTGACGCTGTGTCCTGGCTGGGCCTTCCCCACCTCGTGCATTTTCTTTGAGAATAAAGACTGAAGAAGAATCTGTACTCACACGCAGACAACACAGGAACTCCGGAAAGAAAGCCATCTGGACACTCAGGCATAACACAGACAGACGTCCTTCCGTCCTTCCGAGACGCTGGGAGCTCCCTGCGGGCAAGGTCACAGGGAAGGCCGGCCGCGCCCTGGGCTCCTCACTTCTCCATCCTGGGAGGGACCTGGTGGTCCCGCAGCTGCAGTGCCTCCGCCGGTGGCGAAGGAAACAGTGCCTTACTCAGTGGGCTGAGCTATGCAGAAGACGCGCGCGTGGAGCATCTTTGTTTTCATGTCCACTTCGTTTCCTTCGGTTGATTTTGTGAGTTGTTTCCTTTCTTCTTTTGCTTTGTGGGGAGGGTAGAAAAGCAGGCCGTGCACTTTGCAAGGAGCCGGTGGCCGGTCTCGTGACGAGGGGCTCCTTCATCCTCCCACTCACGCCCCCCACGGCCCAGCTCCCCTTTCCGCCATGCTCTGATGCAACCCTGCAACTCGATGAAATCCTTGTGTGAAACAGACTGCAGACAACACACTTTCAAAAGAACTCATTGCATGTTTATGATGCAAGTTTCAACTGACAGAGAAACCCTCGAGGCCAGCTGGTCCCGCGAGACCGTTCCCTATCACTGGTCCACGGGACAGAGCGCCGTGGGCCCCCGTGTCCACAGCCAGCACCGTCCACCCACCATGACCCGCTGTGGACCTGAGCCGTCCCGGGTGGTCCCCTCTTCCCGCCACCTGTGACCAGCGGCTGAGTAAGGACTTCTCGTCCGACCATTTCTCAATATCGATGCTGAAGCAATATCCATTCAGGGAGTTCATCGGTTGCATAAAGCCATGGGTGGTGAGATCAGTCACTCCATTTGGGGTCCTTTTCAGTGGAAGGCTGTTCTTTACAGAGAGAAAGGCAGTTGGGAATGGAAGCGAGGCCACGTGGCCAACCCTGGGGCTCTTTTATTTAGGATTGTAACACTGCTCTGATTAAACTATTTAACTAACGTGCGCACCCTCTTCTTTCTCCGTTTCGCTTAGAACTGGGACTCACCATAAAGCGTGGAGCGTTTAGGGGGGAAGGAGGGTCCTGGCCCTGCAGGCTGCCCGGGCTTCAGTGCCACCAGCCTCCTTGTCCCTGCAGGGCTGCTGCGGTCACGATTCTGGAGCCTCAGTGTTACCGGCATGTGAAGCGCCTACCCGCGCTGTATTTCCCTGTTTGGGGGTCCCCTAGAGTGCTTGAAACCCGCGAATGACAGAAAAATAACTCCTCCAAATGGTTCAGTTTTACTACAGCTCTCACTTTGGAAAGCTCAGGGCAAGTCCGTTTTCCGTGATAACGGGTCCGTGTTCCAAGCTGATGTGAGAAGGAGGTACCCTCCTGGGTGGTGCATTGCACACGCAGACGCGGAAGGGCATGTGCTGGGGGCCACTCAGCATCCCAGCTACAGCGCCTTGGTCTTCATTCACCCTGTGGTATCATTTTTAATGGGGAGCGAGCAGGCCTTTCCGAGCCCTCTCACTGGCTCAGGGAGCTGAGCTCACATCTGCAGAGTGTGGATAAAGGAAGCCAGGTCCGTCCCACAGCACGTCAGAGAGCACGTGCCATCTGCCAGCGGGCACTGCCCAGAAGCTCGTGTGAATTGGAAAAGTTAGCCCTTCCCCACATTATGTCATGAACCTCTATTGCAGCGGTTCTCAACCTGTGGGTCGCGACCCCTTTGGCGGTCGAACGACCCTTTCACAAGGGTCGCCTAAGACCATCCTGCGTATCAGATATTTACATGATGATTCATAACCGTAGCAACGTGACAGTTATGAAGCAGCAACAAAAATAATTTTATGGTTGGGTCACAACATGAGGAACTGTATTTAAAGGGCCGGAAGGTTGAGAACCACTGCTCTATTGTGTTGTGCAGAGGATGATCTTGTCACCGAATGGTAACTTTTTTGCCCAGAGCCCTGATATTTCTGTGACAGATGCCAGGAGGGGCATCCCGACCTTCATACCAGCGCACGGATGCCCCTGAGATCCTTACAACCATAAATATTAATAAATACTAATAGCACAGGCTCTCCCCTATCAAATCGAAAGTTAGCTCAGCACTTAATCCTGCGGCTTCTGTGAATGTTGAACCACAGCTAAACAAACCCTCGGGAGTCCTACATTCACAAAACTGTGGGGTGTTTATAGCGACTCCGCTCAGCACAGACACAACAGTCGTTAATGTGATGCGTGTGTCACAGTCTCTGCCTCCTGGGGCGCCGGAGCTGGTGGAGTGGAAGCCAGCGTCTCAGGCGAGGCGGCCCCTGCAGGCTCGACGGCTGAGGTCACGATGTCCTTAGTGACGCAGCCGGGGCTGTTGGTAAGTCTGGTCTCTCTTCAAATCTTTTTCTGATTCTGGCCACGATGGTTCAATAAATCAGAGTGTGTTCTTGGGAGCCAGTAACCCTGACACAGGAAAGCAGCTGTGGGTTCTGATGAAGATCCTCACCGCTCACCCACACCCGCTCCCAGGGCAGGTGATCCCAGAGGGAACCGCCGCCAGCAGGATCCACCTGAGCATGCTGCTTCCTCATCACACAACCAGGCGTCCAGGCGTCCTAGACCGGAGGGGGTGTTGCATCTTGACATTTCATTCTGGTATCTGCCCTATTGCTTTTTTCTGTTTGTATATTTTTCTTGATTTCAGAGAGAGAGAGAGAAACATCAATGGTGAGAGAGAATCACTGACCGGCTGCCTCCTGCACGCCCCCTCCTGGGGATCGAGCCTGCGACTGGGGCATGTGCCCTGACCAGGAATCAAACCGTGACCTCCTGGTTCATAGGTCGACGCTCAGCCACTGAGCCACACTGGCCGGGCCATATGTAAATGTTTACTCAAGAGATAAACAAGATTTCTTTGTCTCTTAAGTCCCTTTCAAGCTCTGTTAGGCATAACTCCCCAAAAAGTTGTGGCTGAACATCAAACCAGTGTCCCCTACTATGAATAGGGCTCATCAGAGCCACTGTGAAAGGAACACACTAAAACTTCCCCAGC